ATTTAAAAGTATGCTTTAATCTCTGTAAAGTATTGAAAAAATATAATTATCAAGTATCTCAACACGTTCCTTATTGACACATATTCTACATGTACACGTAGTGGTTTTGCCATACAGTTTATTGTGTGTGATGGTTAATATGACTTCCTAAATGTTAGCGTTTGGAGACAGTGAAAGTGGGAAAGAGAGTATACATAGATTTATATTCATGGTCTAGAAAAAAAATGGCCAAAGACATTGAGTTGTTTAATGTAATAAATAAATTCACAAACGTTTCCTTTTTATATTCGCGTGTAGTTTGTCATTGCATATATGCACTTTATGTAAACATTTGAAAAGGGATATTCGTCTCGTGAATATTCCTTTTTACAGAAAGGTTTGTCCCATTGTTGAGGGAGTGTTTAGCCCCGTACCACCTGTACCGGTCACGGGAGAAGGCTGTGATAAATTGTAAAAACTTGTGCCCCATCCTTTGTTTAATTTTATTGGCAACAAATTTATGTTAAAAGCTAAATAAATTTAAATTCTTAATATTGGCAAGTGTGCAATTAACTTCTGATGATGAATAATTACTGTTCAATAAGAATGAATACGGAATTAGAAATCATATAACTTGGTTTCATAGTGCGGTAAGAAGTTGCAGTTGCCTGACGGCCCCTCTCTGAGGGCCCCTTTGTAAACCGTTTCATCTCGCTCGCACCACTTGTGTTTGCTGCCTAATCAGGTGACGTTATCGGCGCTATTTTTAGCCGGGCTTTCCCGAACAATTCAGTGGTCAAACTGGACATTTGGAACGGACTATGAATATGGGGATGGCGAGGTAACATAAGTGGAAGTGCATACAATACATACATTCATTAAAAAAACAAACGCCTTTTCACGTGATGTCCCTTTAAGTTGTTATATGTGTTTATGAAATTGTATTTCATTATTTTGCCGGATTTATTTGTTACATTGATTCTGTTCGTTTTAAAAGTACTCTACCAGGTTGCATGTCATGAAATCTGTATAATTTATAACTGATTCAAATGCGGATCGATTTCTCAGTTTCTAAGTTTAATTTTCTAGGTAACACCCCTCCCCTCCATCACTCCCACCCCCTCCCACCCCACAGTTCCTTCCTTCCCCAACCTATCTTTTCCCTTTCCCCAAAAACATATACACTTTTTTTACAATATGTATTGAGGAGAGGACTCTATTAAGTTGTAATAACTTGTTGTCCGATCCATTTGTATATTTGTACAATAAAATATGTTTAAACTATGAGCTGTAAAGCTCAAGGTAATACAGAACTTGAACTTGTATCGAAGTTAAAACACTATGTCACTCCATTGTAACATGTAAACGTGTATGAAACCAAGAAAGACGTTTTGTAAACTTCTGTCGCAAAATAAAAGTTTGTAGAAATAAAATTTTAGATAGACGGTAACACCGTTTGTCTTAGCGAACAAAGTGAAACTAGGCGAACAAATTACCCCGTTTGGGCCCCACACAGCAAACCTGTCAATAGCCACATTCGTATACAAGATGGCGAGCGGCTCAGACGTACCTGCTGATTTAGAGGCGATTAGAAACAGGTTTGCCGGCGAATGGAAGCTCATGAACAGCGAGGGACTGGACGAGTATCTTAAATTCATAGGTAAGACATTATATGTATGTCATGTCTCCACATCGTACGTCGAAAGCTATGCTTAGGCAACTTTATGCTCTGTCCTGTGTTCGTAACAGCGTAACATCGTTCCAAGAAAGACAACTCGGATATTTGTTTAAAAAATCGCCACGGTAACCCAACTGCATGTACATGTGTAGTAAATTTGTTTTCAAAATGGGCGACTGCTATTGATTTTTTGATTTGCTGATCATTAATAAATTCATTTCTGTTAAGCCTTCACCCTATATATCATAGGGTTATCCGTTTCTGTTGGATAAATACGATCAATTTGGATTAAATGGCAAGCTATTATTACAGGGTTCATTGATGTTTAGGATGTCTCCTTCGTGTTTCTGCTGGGTTAGGGGAGAAAAATAGTCATTGTTTACGTGTATGGACTCATATTTATAGAGACAAAACCTGCATTGAGAAAAACTGCAGTCAAAGACGACATATGCATACATGTACGTTTAACATGAAGTATCCCAGTGCAGAATCGTGCTATTTTGTTAAAATAATATTCAGTTCCAGCTCGAATCGTGCTAGTTTGTGAAAATGGCCGCTTCGAAACATAGGCCTATTCAATTTCAATTTGATAAAGACACGACACGTATGCATTAACTCTTTGTATGTGATTGAGTCACGGCGTCCTCAATACTAACCCCGTAATCCGTCAGCCCGGGGCACATAAAGGTATTTGTGACACGTTGAGTCACGGCGTCCTCAATACTAACCCCGTAACCCGTCAGCCCGGGCACACAAAGGTATGTGTTTAGTCATTTGATATACCTATTGAATGTATATTTCAATTGCCGTCACCACGGACTCAGATAGCAATCTATTCCTTGCGGTGCTATATATACGCCTTGTCACTATGTCGAAAAATAAAAAGTGTCATAAAATAGGACGATGTCAAAAACTAGGACGATGTCAAAAACTAGGACGATTTCACAATTATTGGCTTTAATAGTTCAAACGAGTTCTAATCTATTCATATGTAAATTCCATTATTCTCTGGTGAAGATTTCCCCATACACCTCACTTATATGTAATCAAATATGTTTAAATAAACACCGTTGGTGTAGTCAGTATACGTAATGTTATATTAGTAATCAGCACGATTTCATTATGCATATACGTATATATATATATATGGAAAACCTTCACTGTTCCTCATGAAATAATCTATTTGGGCGTGCGATTTGTGGTTATTTTATTTAATAACACATATCATGATTTTAAAAATATTTACAGCATGAACAGTACGGGGCCCATATTTAACGAAAATATTCTCATGCTCAAGCATGTAATTTTTGGCCAAGCCTTATTTCTTGTTCCAGTTATAAATACATAATAATATATATGAAAACAATATTTTGCCACTGATTAGTTAAAGAAACTTTAAGCCGAATACTGTTTTCAGTTTACATTTGACTTTTTGATCATTTGACATGTTTTAAGTGAGTTACAAGAAAGTTGGTCCGCGCATGCACAGACTTGTAGATAACATTAATTCGGTGGTTTGAGCACAGAATATATTCTTGAGCATGAGAAAGGTTTCATGAGTACAGGCCCAGCTGAGTTATATACAATGCTTTTGTTCTATTATTCAGCGGTTGGGGGCCGACTATAATGATACAGATATTCTGTGTGTGTTGTAAACATGTTAATTTGTAAGAATAGTGGTCCAAACGATACATTTAGTTAATTCACGTTATTGAGGATGTGTTGTAATCTGGTCGCGACACTGAACTAGATATTGCCTGTTGGTATCGAGATAGACCTAGCTTCCAAGCTCCCGAGTCCTCATCCCGTTCTGATGACTGCATGGCCACGGCTGTTACATATATATACCAACAGAGATGGCATATGTTCCAATGTTTCTTCTTGGTCGAAAACTTTGTTGAAGGAGCTTTGAACATGTAATTGTGTATAATGGAACAGCTGGACTGCGCGATCGATCGCTGGTGTTTAGCTCAGTTATAGTAAGAGCGTCTGACTGGAGTTCATACATTTTGTAGGTCCCAGGTTCGAATCCCAAACAGTCAGTTTCATTTCCACTCCAGTTTCAGTATCAAAACTTAATTTGTTTCAGGTTTGAATTTCCTTTTCCGTAAGGTTGCCGGTAATGCTAGCTGCACTGTGATCATATCCGTAGAGGAAAACAAGGTCCGACTCATCACTAAGGGGCCCAAAACACAAGACCACGCTTTTAACCTGAACACAGAGGTGGACGATTCGGACCCTGTAGGAAATGAGATGACAGTACGTTGAATGTGTACATTGACGTAGAAGATTATAGTAAAACTACAAATCGCAACGGAGATTGGGGAAGGCTTGAAGATTTCCGATTAGAAACTTAAAGTATCATTGGAAAGAGTCGTTCAAACTGAAAAGTAATGGCTTCCAAAACGCATGTAGCTATATTTTTTTTAATTTCGAACATCTTATTTCGGAATATCTTTGAAAGCAAAAGCCTTTCTCACTAGGCCTCCCCTTTGGAAAAATTGTCCTTAAAAGAGTAATATGTGTATATTTTCTTCTATCAGAACATCAAAAGATCAATTTGAACCCTGTTATAAGAAATCGCCCCCCAAAAATGTAGGTTCACCCAAACTTCCTTTTTCAATTTAATTTGTTACCTTTGTTTTCCTTGTATAAATTTATTTCTGTTTTATCGTTCCTGCTTTTATGAATAAACTAAATCCCCATTATTCAAATAAACCGACCGTTTTGGGGGGTTTTAATTCAGAAATGCATTTGGACAAAACCTAATGTTTTTAAGAGCTATCCAAACGTTGAATAAAAGACATTCAATTGATTAAATATGGCAATACCAATAAATAAAAATATATGAGTGCCTGACAGTTATTCTGATACCATGTTCTACCCACCCATAATGAATGTTTCTGATTTAAGGAAATGACCATGTATTTTTCCAATATTACTAGGCTGTAGTGACGTTTGAGGACGGTAAACTGGTGACAAACTCCAAACCAAGAAATAAATCCAATGCCAAGGTCACAAAGGTCACACGAGAGGTCATCGCAGGGGTCAAGGGCAAACCTGACGAAATGATTATGGTAGGTCAAGGTCACTTATAAAGTCCAAAGGTCAAATCAGAAAACAAATACATCGGTCAGTCTACTTGTTTTAAAACATATATGTATGAATCACAACGCCACTACTGAACTCAATACTTATTTATTTGAAATTACTTTTCATTTAATTTTGAAGCAACACGGGAATTTATCTGTCATTTTTGTATTCTTTTCAGTAACTTTGGTCTCAACTGCAAAATTGTAACCCTTTTTCCCGTGAGAAACTCATGAGAAAACATTTAGATGTATAGTTTGTAGTAACACGAAAATCCTCATATCATTGAGGAGTGTATTTTGTTGATGACAAATAGGACGAAAAAGACCATTGTTCAGGTTTAAAATTGTGTGTGTATTGTTGTTTTCTATTTTACAGACGGTGGAGGCAGGGACGTTGGTGATGAAGAGATTTTTCGTCAAACAGAACTGATGGCTGTCCTAAATGTGTGACAGATGTCATCCTTGTTGGCTATGTGGAATTTTCAGTACAGAGTTTTGGAAGTAGGAGACCCAAAGTTTTCTTTTCTGGGACAGAATAGGGGCGATGTCTTAGTTTCTTTTTAGTGACTTTTTATTATATGATAAGTGTTCCATAGATAGTCAGGTCTCGGACAGGTACACCGGTGGCGGATCCAGAGACCTTTCTAGGGGGGTTTCCAAATTTCATGGAGGGGGGGGGTTACAATTGGGGGGAAACTGAGGAAAATTGTGAAAATACGTTATNCATCAGGGTCCGCCACTGTACACTTGGCTAATTACATGTAGCATGCACTGTCTTCAGGGCTGAACTAGTTTGCACCTTTTCTTATCTTATAAATTAGATGTTAAGATATATGAGATCTTTGTCAGTCCCTGGACGGTATTATTACTAAGGAGCATAGCATATGCATTTACCGTAATTAGGTGACTTGAATTAATTGCTTGGTCTTGTGACCAGTCGCATTCTGATAACATTATTAACAAGTTTCATGTACTCTACAACCCCCCAAAAACAGAGAAATGTCAGTTATACATAATGACCTTTGACCTTAATTATGGTAACTACATGATTTGAGCAAATATCTTTTCTAGCATATAATGTTAGAAATGTTTATTTAAATGATAGTCAAAAATTCAATGTTATGCATTCAATAACTTATGACAGGTTAAAAAGTAACAGACTCCACTCATGTGTATCTTTAAACAGCAATATGTACTGTTTTTGTTATAGGACTCACACAACTAAATCAGCCAATCAGCAAGTGTTTTGTTTCATGTTTGTAGTTCCTATTTGAAATAGGTTCCGGCTAATTACTGGGCCACTGAATGAGTTTAATAAGGAACTGATGACAGATTTTTAGATAAATGAAATGTTCAGGTATTTAACTTTGGCAAAATATATACTTTTGATATATTTCCATGTCTGTGTGCGGATTTGCGCAGGGGCAAAATGTCTGGGGGCGTTTCTGTTTTGGGTCATCGGTTTTGCTTGTAAACTTCCGGTTGTCAACTTCTTGGCCCTGTGACACTCAAACATTAGCTAAAATGTTGGGTAATAACATATAGTAAATGATTTAGTTGTGCGAGTCCTTATAGAACGTGTTTAGATATCCTTCCACCCAAAAGGAAATAGAACAATTTTATGATTTTATGTATTTCCTAACAATTTTTAACGTTTTACTTTAAGATACTCTCCTAGTGATAGTGACCCCGGAAGTAAACAACTGATAGTGACCCCGGAAGTAAACAACTGATAGTGACCCCGATGTCCATGATATCGATTTGATGACACTCAATGCCTGACATTTGAACTCATTGACTACATATCTACATAAATATGTCATTTTGTGGAATTCAAGAAAAAGTGCAATCAATTGTCGGATGTATTTTACTGTATACATCTGTTTTCATTTTAGTGAATTTTTTTTTTGATAATAATATTTTAAAGATTTATTTTCATTTTATACAATGATCCACATTTTAAGTGTAAAATATGATATTTGTGCAATATATCTGTTTAAATTGAGGAAATACAAGTACGAACTCTAATTTCTTGCATAATATTTGTGATGAAATATATTGATTTTATGCACGTCAGTCAATATAATTTTGAATCCATAGTGGTTTTGGTATTAACATATGTTTATAGATATTCACGGAACATGTTTATCAGTTCCACATTAACCATTCCATACTTATAACGGACCATGTATCGTGGGCCTGATGCGAGTAGCCTTCAATCTTTAAAATTATCTCGGACTTCGTCATTTACCAAGTCCGATATTGTTCGAGAACTGGGAGTAGGCAGTGAAGCATTCACTTGACACATTGTGTACAGGTGTACCTCCATGTAGTACTAGTAATGTCTTCTAGTCTATTCTACTACGTCTCCGATGTACATTGTAATAACGCCTGCCATTGGTTAATAACCATATGCCTGCTTGTCTTTGTTGAAAAAATCAACTCTCCGTCTGGCAGGTGTAAAAAAGTGATCTGTTCGACTTTATATTTCTTCGTTTAGTGAGGGTATAATCATACGTGATTGTAAGGTTGTCAAATGTTGATGTCATGTGCTGATGAGTGACGTCGATATCTAAATTCTTTCTATTAAAATATATATCTTGTACAAAACACATGACGTCAGTGTTAATTTTTGATCGTCTGCTCAATTGGGAAACCAAAACTACAACTAGAATTGAAGATTGTTGGGATTTATAGACCACAATTTGGAGATAATGTTTTTCATCAAAGCAAACTGTGCCAAGTAATTGATTTTCACAAGTCATATCTTTGCTTAACTTGTTCATGGTTACCGGTCCCGCTTAGGCAGTAGGCTCGACATGCATGTGTATAATTAAAACTATTCCCAAATACTCTAGTTGAACAGGCAAAATAAGACAGCTATCCGCTGCGTCAGATATTTCAAAAATACGCAATTTGTGGTGAAATGAAGAAAATGGTATCGCGTGTAAATATTGCACGCACAAGACATATCGAATTCTTAACGGCACGCAAGAAAATAGAATTGAATTCCTTTTTATTTTATATCTTTGACACGTTTCACTTCACTTTTACTATAAGAAATACCAAATATATCCTGTTAGAAAATTAAGTAGTTTTAGGTAATAAGAATTATCGACATGCCCAATGTCATCGAATTCGTTTTGTCGTCTTTTCACCCCGAAATGAAAACTTACTATATCTTGTCTTTTCGAGGACAAGGAAACAACACAGATTTTCAACTTTCTCAGAAAAACAAATTATGTCGTCTAGATTATAACGGTATTAACAGTTTGATAAAAAAAAAAAATATGTTCACGATCTTCACTTATACAGCTTGAACAATTAACATTATTTTCTAGCTCTAAGTTCCCTTGATTAGGAAGATATACTCAAGTATTGTGCATATATTTCACACGACATATAAAACAAAGCCAGTATACAGGTACCTCATTCTAATACGTAACAGCCGCAGGGACCTAAGTATTTGTTACAGCTATATTTGAACCTAAACTAAGGTGATCATTGGGGTGTCATTTTTACCGAAAGTCGATCTAAACCCCTTAAACATGTACAATTGCTCTAAACACCTTAGTTTATGTCCAAATATAGCTCTAACAAATTATCAGGTAACTGTGATAACAGCTAGAAAGCTTCGCCATCTTCATTTCACAAGACAGGAGAACTTCGAGTTTTATTAGCTCACCTGGCCCAAAGGGCTTTAAAACGATACTAGTCCTGAACGGCTTAGAGGATATGGACCAAATTTGGTCTGGAGCATCATCGGCCAAAGGGTTCTCAGTTTTGTATAAACAGGGGGTATGGTCCCTCTGGGGGCATAGGGGTGGGATCAAATAGGGGTAAAATAGGTAAATCTTTAAAAATCTTCTTCTTCTCAACCAATAGAATTTTTTTGACCAAATTTGTCCTAGAGCATCTTTGGACAAAGGAGACTCAAGTTTGTATAAACGGAGGGTGTGGCCCCTCTGGGGGTGGAGAAGCGGGGCCCAATAGGGAAAATAAAGGATTTTTTCTCTCCTGCTATACAAGTGAAGGGATTTAAACCAAATGCAGTCAGAAGCATGATTAGGGACAAAAGAATCAATTTTGTATAAACTGAGGTGTGTTGGCCCCCTTCTAGGGGCAGATGAGTGGGCCCTTTAGGGGATGTAGAGGAAAACATCAAATATCCTTCTCCTTTTGTACCGATGAATGGATTTTGACCAAATTTGGTCTGGAGCATCATTGGCCAAAAGGTTCTCAGTTTTGTATAAATGGAGGGTATGGTCCACCTCGGGGCAGAGGGGCAGGGCCAAAAAGGGGGGAAATAGGCAAATCTTTAAAAATCTTTTTCTTCTCAACCAATAGAAGGATTTTGACCAAATTTGTGCTAGAGCATGTTTGGACAAAGGAGCCTCAATTTTGTATAAATGGAGGGTGTGGCCCCTCTGGGGGCATAGGGGCGGGGCCAAATAGGGGAAATAAAGGACTTTTTTTCTCCTATTATACAAGTGAAGGGATTTAAACCAAATGCAGTCTGAAGCATGCTTAGGGACAAAAGAATCAATTTTGTTTAAACTGAGGTGTGTGAACCCCAGCTTCTTTGGGGCAGATGAGTGGACCCATTAGGGGAAATAAAGGAAAACATTAAAGATCCTTCTCCTTCTGTACCGTTGAAGGGATGTTAACATAACCAAACTTGTTCTAGAGCATCTTTGGGCAAAGGGAATTGAATATTTATATAAATTTATAATTTATAAACCAGGCAGAGGAGCAGGGCCCAAAAGGGGAAATAGAGAAAAATATTTTCCCTTCTGTACAAATGAAGGGATTTAAACCAAATGTTGTCTGAAGCATGCTTAGGGGGAAAAACTCAATTTGTTTAATTTGTATAAAAAGGTGCATGTGAGGCCCAATAGGGGAAAAAGAGGAAAAATGGGACATAACATGGAAATTCATTTTCTTGGTGTTTTTCCCACCAAAACAGATTTATATGTAGTTCTTCTTGCAACTTTGTTTCTTGTGCTCCTTTGATAAACCTGAATGGTACTCAGCAGGTTTTTAATTGAAAAATAAGATACCAGGTGAGCTATTAAGGCCCCTGGGCCTCTTGTTACTATTTAGACTACATTTGAAGTTTGACACCAAGTGTGGTACGCAGTCTCTAGATTTATAAGCAAATAACTACAAATTAATGCGATGATTATTAATCAAGATGGAAAGCGATACAAAAACTCGGATTTCCAAATGGTGTCTACATATATTGTACAATGCAAGTGTATACCAACTTTAAAACACATGGGAACCTCATGATTTTATTCAACAAGTGACATCATCTATTCTAAATAGTTATCTTTGTCTCGGCAACACGTTTACAGATGATAACGTTAATAGAGCAAACAAGATATGGCCATACACTCCAACGTACCGGAATAGCCAGTGGCTACGCTCTTCAGAGAATGTCAGTGAGCGTAACCGGTTGGATCTTCGAGAATGGCGGAATATACACACGAATGTTATCGACATTTGGAATTGTGAAGTCTACATACAGGAGTTATCACGCGTTGAACGATCGTTATTGAATATTTTTATACAGGAAGTCCTGTTCTAAAAATCTGGTTGATGCTGTTTTTAGTTTTTCAGTGTCCCTTCGTCTGTTCGTATTTATAAAGAAATGCTATTGGTACACGGGTGAAAAAAATGTCATTTATCTCTCTAGAAGACATTCCTTTTTTATCAATTCTTTGTCTTTATGTTTGTACTTGGAGTCGTTGTTATTGTACTTGGAGTCGTCTTCATAACACACGGAGTCGTTGTCATTTTACGTGTAGTCGTCGTCATTTTATATGGAATCGTTGTCATTATACGTGAATTCGTTGTCATTATGTGTGAAGTCGTTGTTATTTTATGTGGAGTTGTTGTCATTGAAGTTGGAGTCGTTGTCTATATACGTGAAGTCGTCATTGTACGTGGAGTCGTAGTCAATAAATGTAAAGTCGTCATAATATGTGAAATTGTTGTCATTATACGTGAAAGATGAATGGGGATAAGTCGAAAAGCATCTTCGATATCAGCTTTAGCCATGAGACAGTGCGCTCCGAATTGCATTTTTAATCGTTTCATATTGAACTGCAGAAAGTTCTTTTAATAAGGTATAAGGTCATTGACTGACTGTCCTTTGGGATAAGATGGGTTATGATTTAGTCTAAATTTCCCTGCTCTTTATCGGGGACAAGGCCCAACAGGGAGATGGAAAGAATATGTTTATTTTCGATTGCGGAAGGATTATTTTAAGCTGAATTGGGATTTAATGGTTCTAAAACAGAGGATTCTCCCGTGATGTCTAGATGAAAGTCATCGATGAAACCTTTAATCAATGTCGAAGCGACAGACATATCATAATTGTTGATAAATAAGCTTTAAGCTTATGTGGTTGAACCAGGGCTGGAAGTTTGCGTAGGGGCTGAGGGACAGTTCTTTGCCGGATGTTTTTTCTTCCAGAGGTGACATTCATGCTTGAATTTGCAGACCCCTGGTTGTTGGCATCCTCCCTCTGTTTCGTATGACCAACAGCAAACCTTTTGGGACTCGGCTTCTGTGGTCATTTCGAAGAAAAGGATGGTTATATGCTCGGTTTGGGGCTGAATCGGACTGACTGCTCTTTTGAAAACAATTTCCTCGAAAGTTCCGAAATTTGTTGTTTGAACCACCTTGGTGTTGTTGGCTTGCATATTTTAACGAAGCCATTTTCCACAGTTCGTTATGAGTTGTGGTCCACTGGAGTGGTTGAATGCGACGTAATTTGCGAAAAAAATCATCATAATATTGGGCAGCCTGATTACCGTACGTATCATTAATAAGACGTACAGTGTTGCCGTATTTAAGAAGGCCGTGACTCTCTTGTGGGTATTTCGTGACACGTATCGAAACAAAGATGTTGAACGCTTGGTTCCAATGACTGATGTTATTATATTTTTAGATTTTGAATAAGCGGTCAGCCCAAGCCCACCATTACCTTTCATTGTTATGTTAAATTGTGTATCATTCTCATCTATTGGGAAAACCAATGATGAGAAATCGACAAACTCTTTGTTGAAGATTTTGTTCCGGATTTTATCGGAGACATTAAAACCTGATGGTAAATCATGAGTTAAAGTACTCATTTGGTCATGACCAATGTCTGTAGTAGGATTGTTACCTAATGTGGCACTTATGGTAGGTGGGATGGCTTACATGTTGGATTGTTCTTCAGTAATGTCGCCAGGAATATTGTTCGTTGTAACTGAATAGGAGACAAAGTCTTGATGTGTCGGTACTGTGTCCGTGGTGATTGATCTGGGTGGTGTACATGTTAAGCTATTGTCAATCAACATTGGTGTTGCACATGTAGTTGGCGCTCTCTGTGGCTCAGTAATTAATGTTGAGGTGCTTGGGAAATTGGCCACGGCCCTGGCCACAGCTGTAACAACCATGCTGCTGGTTTTGTCCATAACCTGTTCCACAATAATTTCGACCAACTCTGTGGCAGCAGGACTATGGGCAGCATTTTCAGATTTTGAACATCTTCTGACTTGAGCCAGTGGATGATCTGGAATAAAATTGTACATACCATTCATAACTACACAATTTTA